GTTAATTAACTTTCTGAATTCTATAATTGAAGTTTATTTAATAAATAACTGAAATCTCTAATCTACCTACACAATCATAACCCATGCTTTTAAACTACAATTTAACGTGTTTCAAGTACTTCTGGCTTTTACATATATTAATTATATCTTTGTTCGCCCCAGATGACACCTTCAAGTGACTAAAATGCTTCACTTTGAAGTTAGTATCCAAGCTAATTTTAAATTGTATATTGTATAGGGTAAATGTTCCAACTACGCTCTCACGCTTCCACTATGTGGCACCTCAAAAATACATATGGGTATGTCACAATAGAAGCACACCCCAGTGGAAATCCCGAGCCATAGTTCAAACACTTATCCCAAATCAAAATGAAGCACATAAGATTAGTTACAATACCATGTACAAAAATGATGTTTAACATTGTTTCCTGAGTAATACTTCAATGAAAACAACAATGAAAGCTTGTCACGCAAATAGAAGGAGCACTGTTGGGCACTTTCTGAAATATTTCAATAGTATAATTCCCTTGCAAACCCAAATGAATCTATCTGTGTGAAAATAAATAAAATAAGAGTGATTTGCGGCAAAACCCGCCAGTATCACACCCAACGTCAGTGCCTATACGTAAGCGTACTACGACGCGGCTCTCAATTAAAGGAGTAACAAGTGTGATACTATCACTGCTAGACTAGATTTTTGGTTCTCTCATGCAGTGGTTTATCAGAGAGGGGAAGCTTAGTAATCCCCATTGCCTGCCCATGACGCCATTCTATCGCGGCATGAGCCAGCAACGCCGACCATAAACCTACCGTCTCCAACACTCCACTAGCATGAAATTAAGCACGCCCAGCAACAGCAAGGTGCAAAAACTAGCCAAGGGGAGGGCAATTTCAAGTGAATTCTGAGATGATACAAAATTAAAAGAAAATTATGGAGACAAATGAATGCCACGCGAAAGAATGGTGGATAATACAAAGCTAAAATGCAGAGTGTTTTGGATGGAATTTACAGAACTTTGTTGATAACCTAAACATAACTCTACAGACATTTTGAAATGATCCTAATGAAATCCTTGAGAAATAATCAGAAATATTCTGATATAAGTTCAGAAGAAATAATATTGTTAATCAGAGGTTGTAACTCTCCTCAATTGAACATCGACTGGACAATGAAAAGGAACTTCAGAGCTGGAGAAAACTCTATTCATCTTCACAAAGCATACCTACAATTCATTTCTACCAGCTGCCTTTGAAGCTTCATCGTGTCCTATGGCAATCTTCTCCGACTCAGCCGGTGTACTTTCAGCGCTCGAATCTTACAAGAATCGGCACCCGTGCATCCAAGCTATACACAATGCGTCTAATAACAACCTTCGATTTTCCTGGATACCCGGACACTACGAAATAGCTGGAAACGAAACTGCCGACTAGCTGGCGTCAGTCGGTCGGGAGTCAGGTTTGTATACCAATGAAACGCCAATTGACGACATCAAAACACGGGTTAAAGCGATCATCCAAGATGCTTGGGCCCGAAGCTGGCAACAAGAAAGATGGCTATTTTTGCGAACGGTGAAGGGCGACATCAAGAAATGGACCGATCAGCCGCGTTGGAAAGACCAACGAATCCAATCGCGTCTAAGAACGGGTAACACTCGAGCCACCCATGACTATTCCATAGTACCAGACAGGCACAAACGGTGCGATATATGCCAGATACAACAATCAGTAGAACACATACTTGTGAATCGTCCCGAATATGAGGACCATCGACGTATGTATGATATCCACGCTGGAGTGCGAGACGTTCTTAGTAACGATACCTCATACGAAACTGCCTTGATGTGCTTCCTGAAAGACCTTAGAGTCTACATTTGAAAAACTAATCTTCGGACCACGCTATGAGATTTGACATTCCACAACCGATCATCCTGCAAACACCTACCGGACTAGTCTTCTAACTGATATCAAATCTCCTCCATTAAATACTTCAAATCTCCTCATGCATTAATGTATGAGTTAGGTAAAGAAGTGTGCGTTTGACTAGTACTGTCGCATTAATGGCCCTTCACTCATTTTCAACTTCCATTCAATTTTCATACTGCCGTACTTTAGCGAAACTATCTACCTACCCTCTTCAGACCTTTAATAGTTAATAAATTATCACACTAAAGCTTTATGTTAGATAGCATTTCCAAACAACTCTGAAAAGTAATTTAAAGTTTCAGTCAAATTCCCGGTTATTTCCCCGTGGTTTTCGATTCCCGGTTGAGTGGCCACCCTGTTTGTGTGACGCAAATTTTAAAACAGCTTTTCGTCTAAAAACAAATCTACTGTGTTTTGCGTACCTAAAGGAACCTCAAACTTTTTTCTATTTCAGTCAACTCTCTATATAGTGATGATCTTTATCACAATATGTGACCACTTTTTTATTTCTACATGTCGATGGTTATCTCGGTGTCTTCAAACGGTCTAGTAAGGGGCTGTTCATAAACTACGTAGACAGATTAGGGGGGGTTGGCAATCATCCACGGCCCATACAAATTAATTTTTTTTTTGTATGGACTATTTTAGGTAGAGCTGGAATTAGGGCGTAACAGCTTTTATAAACAATGACTTCTCTCGATGATCTCTAGAAAGGCAAGGCTTGCTCACTCAAATCAACGTCACCATCTGGTAGGGGAAGACTTCGCCTTCCCGTTGGGTGTGTTGGTTTACGTAGGTGTGCCTTGAGTTTCGAGAAATCATCGAGAGAAGTCATTGTTTACAAAAGCTATTATGCCCTAATTCCAGCTCTATCAAGAATTGTCTACGCAGGGGGAGGGGAATCAAGAATCCCAAAAAAACTGTTAATGAACAGCCCCTAAGCTATTCTTGTTCTATATCTCGATGATCCCTTCAATATCGAGATATGAAGAGTTGACTGCAGTTGTTTCAAGAAAATCTATGTTTCTTCAAGTGTACAGTTATAAACAAATGAGCAATTTGTGCGAAACATTGTGCATGCCAACCTTGTATGAATATGTTATGCATCGTAAAGCGTAATAAGATAACTACTGGTAATATTATGCAACAAGCGGAATGACCAATGTGCATCTGTTTGAACAAACAACTTTTTCACGTACGATATGGTTAGTTATGTGTCCCCAGTATGCCTTGGCCCCTCATCATTTTCAAGAGTTATGACATCTACAACACTGACTTGAAAAAGAACAAGCATCACTGACTAATTCAGAATGTGTTGCCTTCGGGAACGCTTCAGTGGCTCCACAATGACAAATGCGAGCACATTCCAAACTAAAACCTTATTTGAATTGACTGTTAGAGCGTGCGAAGAATGTGATTGTGAGTGTTATGTCTGTTATTTTATAAGAAGGAAATATTTCCTGCTATCCCTCTTTAATAAAATATTCAAATATTCGTGCCCCTCTTCCATGCCGCTTAATGTAGCCAATTCCAATAATCATTTAAAAAAAAAAAAAAAAAAAAAGTTCGAAAAAACAGATCATGTTTGAACGAAGAGAAAATCTCTATTACCAACGGATAGGGATAAGACAAAAAACAGTAATCCATCTGTCATAGAAAATGTCTTTTTAAATCGGGTTTCTATTACCCTATTAGTCTATTAGTCTAATCCATCGGGTTGCCAATATCTTTCTTAGAATGTGTTAATAAAAGAATGGAATATTTCCTAACCGGACCGGGATTCCAACCCACCGCTTCCGGCTTAGTAATACCGTGCCTTCACTGACTGGGTTATCTGAGGCCACTCCGAGCTATAGTATTGCCACAGACAAACAGACATATAACTTGTAAGTTAGCATTTAGTGGTCAATTTAAATGTGTCTTACTTGGTATGGTAGTACCGCCGTCCGTGGCGGGCATAGTCAATTGCCTTGTGTTTGACGTTTGCACAATATTGAGTACACTGTGATGGGAAGTACGCTCAAAATATGACGATCTTCCCATCACAGTGTACTCAATAGATGACGGTAGTCTTTTGATCATATCTCAAAAAATAATTGACCTGCAGACGAAATTCCTTGTCAACATACGCATTGATTTACGCTCATCATTTCCGTAACAATTGAACACGATAAACATACTGTCCCCATCTTGGACCCAACAATGGATGTAACTTTGGCCCCTCGAAAACACTCCTTTACATTAGATTGCTGGTGGTTTTTTCAACACTGTAATTCACAACAAAATTCTCTTAATTTTAGTAGTAATTTCACTTAATAAATTGAACAAAAACCTTTGTTGTTGTTTTCCAGCGAGCGAAAAACAGCAAGAGAAGATTGCGGTGCAAAGCATAGTCAAAAACTGAACGAAAAACAAATTGCGCATCAGTTTTTCATTAAAATAGAGCGGGAAATGTACTCAAATTATTTTATAATTCTGACTCTTTACTCATTAATGATACTTTTTCAATTTGATACGAGTACTGAGCTTTTTGTGTCATTGAAAATGGGATTTATTGCTAAAAAAGGATTTATTCGCTTGATAGGCCGAGTTTAGGGACTAGGCCTAGTTTACATCTAGCAACCCTATATTGGGATATTTAATAAATTTTATATTTTTACCATACACTAGTCAATAATACATATTGCAATTTTGAATATAATCATTTAAAATTTGGTTTGAATTTAACTGAAGACAACATATTATATCATACATGTTGTCTTCGATTTTACCTAAATGCGCGGAATTAGGGGCCATGGGGAGCAAAATTATGGTACTTTACGGTACTCGGTAATCGTTTTTGAAGTGCTCCAAACATATCGACTGTAGTTTTTAAGCGCAAACTGCGAGTTAACAACCTTGCTTGGAGTATCAAAATTGAGCGGATCAATCGACAGTAAAAAAGTAATCAACCTTCAAATTTATTCAAGTGCAGTAGGTGCCTCTAGTTTTCAGTATCACCGAACAAACGGAGATAAGGATACAATTACGAAAGTAATCTTTTGAAATAACCAAAACGCATAACAATCTCTTCCTACCTGACTTCCCGCTCCGGCACCCAAATGGTCAAGCTGCGAAGCCAGCGTCTGGCTCTGCGAGGGAATCGTGAAATCTCGAAAGTCATAGTCCGTTCCCTGGGTATCCGCCCCGATCAGATCGTTTTCTTCGGTATCGAGGAACGTCAACGTTTGGGAATTGACCACTCCATCGTATGTATCCACACTCATCGTCACCGCAATAGGTTCTTTTTGCGTTTTCCGTCGCAAGTCCGTCCGTCTTCTTCACCTTGATTTTTTTTTAATTTTCTATCTTTTGTTCACACTCGTTTGACTGGTACTATTCCAGCTCACGTCAGTTCGGGCCCTGGAAAGAAAATGAAAAAATGGCTCTTTAACCCGTACGAATTGCGCAAATTCCACTGCCTTTGGTTTTCTCGGTTGGGGACGCACAGAATAAAAGTAAATTCTTCCGGAAACTTACCAGAAAATGGGAATTTTTCACGAAAAATCAACACTTTATTTTTTTCGCAGCAGCACATTTGAAAAGAAAAACGCGATGATGTTTCTTTTGTCACTCGTCCCGCACCGTCGCGCCTCCTTTTCACTTTTCAGTCTGTCTTTTCCATTTGTGGCACAGACCTAACTGCACACGCTATTTTTAAACTATCCCAAATTTAGGTAAATGAACAAAGTCGATCGATCGGATTAATGTCGTTTCACGGTAACCAGCGTAAACGGCGTAACACATTAATGTGTAAAATTTCACACATTTCGTGAAAAAAGTGGTCTACTCATCAAACGTCAATAGAAGTGTATTTTTTACACATTTTTCAAGAACGGTTTTGACGTAGGACGACTACGTCTTTGATTTCTATATGGGGGTGCACTTTGTGAAAATCGAAAATGGAACATGTAACAAATTAAGAAAGATTTCGAACGTTAATAACTCAGCTGCCCCTGGTCCAATTTCAATAATTTTATCACCAATCGATAAAAATGCTTCCAAATGTTGATTTTTAACAAGAAACTATTGAAAAACTGGTAAATGTCTAGCATTGTCCAAAAGTGTCGAATTAACTAACAAATCCACCAATTACTTACATGCATACCCGCATAAACGCGAAGCATAAATTGACCTTACCTAAAATGGTTAAAAATTGTTTATAATCCCTGCTAAACTTTAACTGAAATGGTTATGGAACTTTACATGAACGTTTAATGATAAAGTTTCAACCTTATGTATTATGGTTTTTTGGAACTGGACCTTACAAATAATGGGTTGTTAAGAACCATTACCGTTCCCAATTCTTGTTTTCTCCATACATTTTCGGAAAGAGAACTATATTAGAACCTTTTAACTTATGGTTTGAGAACTTTAATGGTAATGGTTATGGTAGTCAGTAAGGTCCACGAATGGTTTGGTAACATCGATCAACTTTATGTGGAATATATCGCGAATTGGTTGCCTGTAATTTACTGATTACCAATTCACGATATATTCCACGTAAAGTTGAGCGATAATACAAAACCATTAATGGACCTTACTGACTACCATAACCATTACCATTAATGTTCTCAAATCATAAGTAAAAACGTTCTTATATAGTTCTCTTTCTGAAAATGTATGGAGAAAACAAGAATTTGGAATGGTAATGGTTCTTAACAACCCATTATTTGTAAGGTCCGGTTCCAAAAAATTATAATACATAAGGTTGAAACTTTATCATTAAACGTTCATGTAAAGTTCCATAACCATTTCAGTTAGAGTTTAGCAGGGATTATAAACAATTTTGAACCATTTTAGGTAAGGTTAATTTATGGTTCGCGTTTATGCGGGTATGCTGCTTCCCCAGCACAGTCGTCAGAGAGTAGTAAGAAGACGAAACAAGTCGAAGTGGCATTCGCCTCCGATCCTCGAGCGCGTACGAATAGGGAGGATGGAATTGCATAATATTTTGCACACTCATCGCCATACTCAGAACCACACCACTGTGTGGTGGTGTTCGGTCGTCGAAATTAGTATCAGCAATAGCAGTGCTTTTGGCGTGTGGTGTTGAAAACTGTTCTCCAGTAACAACGAAAGGCTGCCTGCAAGCAGCGAGCTGCAGAGCCCCCATAAGCAACCATCAAAGGAGGAAGAAGCTGCACCGCTATGCTATGGATCGGAATCAGTAGCTCTTCGTGAATCGCTGCGGGTCGTTCATATGCCAAGCGTGTCACCCTCGCTCCAAACGACATACAGCTCGACAGCTTCATCTGTGTTGAACACCCAGCTCAGAATTACTCAACTATCACTACAAAACGGTCCTTTTCAGGGCCACCAACAATTTGTTAAGAGTATTATTTGGACATTTGTCAAGGTCATCAGCTCCCGCAAGCAGCTAGCTATCAAGACTCAACCTGGTTTCTATAGAAGGTGTGGAATTGTAGACCCGAATGTATTGGTGAGATTATCATCGTCTGACCATTTTCCAGAAGACGCTGGTATGAAGTGTTAAAATCTATATAGAATTTGAGAGAAGTGGGAATAATTCGCTTTGGGTGTATATTCAGTCCCCAGAAAGCCAATAAAATCAAATTTGTGAGAAAATTAGCTCTCATGAGCACGAGTTCAATCTCTCGAAGTCCTTCCTTTTTTACATATTCTGCACAAACGATACTTTCCGCCCCGCCCCATTCATATAATTCGGAAGGAAATCCTGTGAGGGGTGAATTGAATACACTTTAATACCAAAATGCACAAAACTTAAAAATTCATAAATAACAAAAAATTCAAAATACACCTTTTAAAGTCGGGTAGTTGAATCGAAAATACTCAAGTTGACAGCCCCTTGCATTCACTTCATCATCTTTCTCTTTGCAATAAATGCTAAAAAATTTGATACGCTTACAAATAAAAAATGGAAAGAGTTAAGATAATTAATGGTTGATCAATTAAAAGAACTAAATGTTCACATTTGTTCCGTCCACTAGCTCCCGTTCGTGCCCCTAGGCACAGACCCTTCTACTTTTTACTGCAAAATGTGTAAAAAGTAATCGTTCAAAGAAATTAAATATGATAAGGACACATGGTTTTTTTTTATAAATATCGGAGTTTTCTTATTTGTGTCAATGATAAAATAAAGATTGATCGGATTCAATAATATTTAAAAAAAATCACAGCCAGACACCAGACAATGAGAACCTTAAAAATGATTATTTTTCTTAGGCTTAGCTATGAAAGTAATATAAATCACTTACCCTATAGCTTGTCCACCGTTGATCTGTTACAGTTTGGACCGTAGTTTCTCCATTTTTCTGCTAAAATTGCTGAAAGTTTTTCGCTTAGGCAAATGGCGTCCATCAACGAAGCAGAAGTTTTTTTTACCCATTAATGAGTATAAAAATACACATTTTTGACTGGTACTACATTCTTAAAATGTGTATTTTTTACACATTTTAAGATCTCCAAATTTACACATTTTTTGACAGCTGCGGAAATGACGGCTTCGGCATGCCAGACTATTTTCGGCAACCCAAATTGAAACACTATTTTCACTGGATTTTCTTACGAAAACACTTCGCTGAATGCATGCAAACGATTCTTTATGCTTTCAGCTTCAATTTGACTATATTTTTACCTCTGAGAAAAAGCAATCTAGCAAGGTTTTCTTGAAATGAAACACACGCACTATAAATTGTAGCTGATTTCGAGTTGCCGATAATAGAACAGCAGATTTACACACTTAGATTTTTTCACCGAGATGGGCACCACCGAGCAGCTTGGCATTTTATTTTGCTGGATCTCAGTGAAAAACTTGCCGAGATTCAGCTAACAAACGGGAATTTTGCCGAGATCTCAGCTAACAAACATATTTTTTGCTGAATTTCCAGCAAAATAAAATGCCGAGCTGCTCGGTGGTGCCCATCTCGGCAAAAAAATCTAAGTGTGTACATGCAGCTCAAATGGAACGGTTGCCGAAGAAAAACTGGTTGCCGACAATACTCACTAGAGAAGATTGGAGCTTTGTTAAAGCGTTTCAAAACAGTTTTTGACAATTCTTTCGACTGAAATTGTTAGAGCAGCTGGCAGCAAAAGATTGTAAACAAACCAATACTGATGCATATGTGTGCGTTCCTTAGAGAAAAAGGCTATAGAAAGAAGGTCGCTGCTTAGTTTGCCGAGAATACGTAAATTCCCCTATATAAAAAATGTGTATTTTTTTACTCATTTATGTGTTACGCTGGTTACCGTGTTGTTGTCCAATTGTCAACTTGTCACTCCGAACAAAGTTTACCCATTTTTGGGTAGGTTCAGTTTTGACCGATCTGGGTCGATTCTATCCAAATAAGAAAAAAGTACCCAAAGCATTAGTTGAAAGATCCTAAAATTAAATAAACAGCATTTCTTAGTTGCTCACATTAATGTGATGAATATCGAGGTTAAGGCAGACTCTCGAACAGACTACTCCTTCTAGCATTTATACCCCGTTCATATTACAGCGTATATCACGTAATATACGCTGTCTTGCAATGAGTACTCATACATCTAGTTTTCACTGGAAATCCTATGTAAGAGTGCTCATTACAAGACAGCCTATATTACGTGATATAGGCTGCAATGTGAACGGATTATCAACCGATGGAAACTAACGATTTAAAATTGGCTCACTACTTAACTAGCCTATTGGTTCCAAGCAAATCGATTAACGTACCCCATTCTAGTCGAAATTAGCACAGAGAACAGACATCCAAGCTTAAAAGTCGGCTTAAACAAATTTTTCGAAAAATTATGTATAAGCATTCAAATTAAAATACGTTAGAAACACTACACAGAAAAAAAAAGTTGTTGAATATTACATCCAAACTGCTGCAACCAGGTCAATCCATCGGTTGTGTAATATAACGTTGTACGATGTACATCGATTTTGCGAATAAAATTACATCCATTGATGTAATATTGTATCTGCTTTTCGCTATTACATTATTATTTGATACATCAGCTTGAATTACATTGATCTATATTACATTTTTTTTATGTGTAGGGGCCTCTTAGCCTAGTCAGTAAAGGCACGGCATTACCAAGCCGGAGGCGTCGGGTTCGATTCAAGGGAATCTTTCGGGTTTGAAATTTTCTTGACTTCCCTGGGCATAGAGTATCATCACAAACGAAGTGACAGACGGAGCGGCTCGAAAACTTTGGTGACTAACCTGCTATTGCAATTTTTCAGTGTACCACATGGCAACACCACTACTACTGGATTGAACCACATGGCAACACTACTACTGGATTGAACTTGCATTTTCACCAAATGTACTAGAATGTTTTGGTTCTATCTCTTTCACTCTACTCAAAACTGAAATGCATAAAAAATGACAAAATGATACGCACTCTTTGCACACTGTCAAAGAATCATTGTACACAAAATCAACTTTGTTCAAATCAAAACAAAAAAACTAACCCATCTGGTGGATGATGGCATAAGCTTCCAAGAAAATTCTATTACAGTGAAGCACATTATTTAAATGGATTTCTTCGCCAGTTAGTCGTCTGTCACTTCGTTTGTGGTATCATTGTGCTTGCCACGCAATATACAAATTCATGCGTTGGTATTGGCATCGAAAGCTCTCAATTAATAACTGTGGAAGTGCATTTAGAACACTAAGTTGAGAGCAAGCAATAAGCTAATATGCGATAAGGAAGAAGCTTGATATGCGAAAAAGAAGAAGAAGAAGAAGAAGAAGAAGAAGAAGATGATGAAACAGTAACACATATTATTGCTGATTGCATCTGAAACTAGACTGTCCCAAAAATGCAAAAAGTATGATAAAAGTGCACGTTTCCGTCAAATCGTTTTGATGTCTTCGGAACACTTATTGCTAGCATCATAAGGAATAAGTGCACAGAAGACACCAAGACGATTAGCAGTTTTATCACACTTTTTAATAAGTGAAAACGCGCTATGGTATGAAATGCTATGAAAATGGTGTGAAATGCGCAATATTATTATTATTTATGACACTTTACCTCTTTATTGTGTGGCATTCGTGTCAGGACCACTGCTATGCAAACAGATATTGCACTCTGTTTACGACATATTTTTATAAAGGAGATTCTTATCTAGCGTCCAAAACGTCAAATACAACAGCGAAAGGTTTTACAGCTGAGTTATTATTGTCGCGGTTATGTTAAATTCTCATTTGATTACGGTCGAAACGCGCCGCTCAGAAGCGCGATGCAACCCCGCCCATAAGGATTATACACAGGTGTGTAACTTTGATAGTATTTTATGGCAGCGGCTTGAGGAGCGAATCCTGGATAAAGAGCCGCCGTGTGTTAATTCAATGGGTGCAGTCGTACGGCCATAAACAGAAAACAGATGGTATAATCCCTTTTTGAGAAATTATCCTGCCACACACAATAATGTAATGTGGACCGTACACGATTGCTTTTATTGACAATAATCGTATTGTCAATACATTCAATATTGAAGTCAATACATTGGTATTGACAATATTTCTGTATTCACATCATCAATATTAATGTCAATAATTCCCCTTCGTGTCAATATATTGATACGTGTGGGGTTTGCTTAAGAGAAAGTCAATTAAGAGAATCGATCAATGCAGATAGGACCTTTTGAGATGTTTATCTAGAATTGTATCGCTCGATTTGTTTAATTTGTTATTTACCTAGGACCTTTTGAAAAGTAACGATCGACTGATGCGTTGACTGTGAAATTTTTCATCTGTCAAATTTTTTTTGGGGATATTGTCATCCTGTCATCTTCGTATTAAAGTGAAAATTAAATTTTGTTCAAGTACGCGTACCATCATCATCGCTAGTTGTCAGGAAAGAAAATCCTTCTAATAATTAGATTTTTCCATCAAAATATTACAAAAGATGTTCCATTTTGATGTATTTTGATCGCCTCATAAAGTGAAAATAATGAATGGTCCTTTCCTACCATCGCAAGGGCTTGATTTCAACACCGAATTAACGGCTGCTGCTATTGCAGCTGTTCCACTGAATGATGATTCCACGGAGGAGCAAGCAGAAAAAGCGTCGGCGACAGTGGCTTTCGCAGTGCCACAATCTACATCGGCTGACACTCCAGACGCTAGTGATGGTGGTCCGGCCGCGGAAAATCCCAAAATAATTTACCTTGATCGAGTGTGTCGGACGTGCCTGGTAGAGAAGGAGAAAGAACAGCTGAAGGATTTGTTCGAGTTTTGCCTCGCCGAAACCGTGATGGCCTGCGTGAACATTTCAATCGAAGAGTCTGACGGATTACCATGTCACATTTGTTTGGATTGTCTGCAGGAGGTGGAGAGGATATTAAACTTTCGGCAAATGTGTGACCGATCAGACGTGACAATCCGTAACTTGATCGAGAAGTCGGTCGTCATCAATCAGGATAGCCAAACGAAGTATGAAGTGCTGAATGTTGTGCTAACTGATGCGAATGGTAATACGGAAACATCCGCCGTAGTGGTTCCGATTGAAGAACTGCGGTTTCAGTTGATGAATGGTGGAAGCGCAACCAATGTGGTTTCTTCGGAGACTATCAGTATTCCGATAATGGAGCTTAATGATGAAGTGGAACTGTCCGGTTTTAATAATGTGGTAAACACGGAAAACATCAAAATTGACATACCAAAGGGTAGTCTTGAGGTGGGGTTTTCGACACCAACGGATTTGCTGGTCACAGAGGAAAGTATGGAAGAAACTCTGGTTGAAGAAGATTTACCTATTACTGTGAATCCAAGCGAGTTGTTGAATGAAGCTACTCCCACACCTTCTTTGAACGATATTGATCCAGAAGGACTAATACAAGACGAGAGCACTACCATCGACCATCTCAAACAGGAGCTGTCTGAGTTTATAGGGAGTGGATGTGCTGATATACCGAAAGATCAGGAACTGGATGACAATGATGACGATGAGATGATTCACGTTGACTATCTGAAAGATGCGTTGACGGAAGAATACATTCAGATTATGGAGAAACAGCTGGCGTCGTCAGTAACACGATCGAATAATCCTTTGCAGGATCGTTTGGAGCAGGAACATTTTGATAGTCTTATAAATGATGAAGAACGAATTCAAGTTGGTGATCAGCAGGACTGTCTGGACGATGGCAGAATTACCGAAGACGAGACGGACGGAGACGATAAATTGAACGATGATGATGGCAAAGGTTGCCATTGCAGGCACTGTGATATTGAATTCGAGGATAATCGTCAGTACAAGAAACACATGAGGAAACATTCCGAGGTGAGCACGCGGTTAAAACTACTAGAATTTGGTTGAATATCTGTAATTTTATTATGTTTCAGAAACGTTTTGAGTGTGAGTATTGCTCGCGCAAATTTGCCGAACAGTCTTTACTGAGGAACCACACACTGCGCCATACCGGTGAAAAAGCACACGTCTGCGAGGTATGCAATGCACGGTTTTACGAAAAGAATCTTCTGAACATGCATATGAGGACCCATGGTGACGAACGGCCGTATGCCTGCGATACCTGTGGAAAGCGCTTCAAGACGAAAAGCTTGCTCAACACTCACAGTAAGATCCATTTGGGAGAAAAGTCGCATGTCTGTACGGTCTGTGGAAAGGGATTCACGTTGTCGTGGCAGCTGAAGGCCCACACCAGGATCCATACGAATGAAAGACCATTCGAGTGCCAGTACTGTCACAAGCGGTTCAATCAGAATGGTAATCTCATGATCCACATCAGAATTCACACAGGAGAGAGACCGTTTCAGTGTACGCTCTGTGAAAAGGCGTATCCTAGTCAAGGGGAATTAAGCGTGAGTGATTACGGTTTTGTGGTGACTTTAGTTTTGATAACAGCAATCAAAAATGCTATTTTAGGGTCACATGCGACAACACACAGGCGAAAAGAAGGTCAAGAAAATCACCTGTACCGTCTGCAGCAAAGCGTTCGCCGGCAATGGGGACCTCAAAATACACATGCGAACCCATACGAAGGAAAGACCTTATACATGCCAGTTGTGCGGAAAAAGTTTCATGCTGCACGTTCATTTAACGGTGCACATGCGTTCGCACACCGGCGAAAAGCCGTTCGCTTGTACCATCTGTGAGAAGGGTAAGTGGCTGAATTTAATTTTCCTGTGAATTGCAACAAATGATCGAATTTTGCAGCATTTGCCACCAACTATCAGCTAAAGAATCACACCTTCGTGCACACCGGTGAGAAAAATTACGCCTGCGAAGTCTGCAATCGACGGTTCAGTTCTTTGGCCAACCGCAACACGCACCGTAAAACGCACGATCGGAAGATATCCTGACAAAAGTACATGTTCGTAGGTTAAGAGCTAATCTGTAATTCCATTTTATCGAAGTTCCAGACTGTATTGTACTAATAGCTTACACTCTGCTAGTACAAGAAATTTATAGATACTTAATCATTATTGGTCAATCTTTCGCGCATTTTGCAGGAGAATTTGAGCTGAGTAATAATTGTGGGATGGTTACATTCGAAACGTGAGTAGTGCCAGTCAGTATATTAAAAAAAAGCTAATCAATGTTCGGTGTGGCCGTAGAAGTTATGATATTAATGTATACTAATACCAGTGCTATCTACCGTATCGATTCATCAGTATAGTTATTATAGTTCTTCTTAGTTTTAACGCTATGAGTAGTATCAACTTATGATTATGCGATTTCTTATGATTATCCACTTTCAATTAAAAGTTCAAATTGTATTTAAACCGTTTTAATCTCTCTATCTAGTATCATTATTACCTGAACCTATCAATCAACAAGGTGTGTTTTATCGTGAACAATTTGATCCGTAAACTACCCCAGAATAAAAATCTCATTTACGATGTACGAAATGTTTGGTTGAATATAATGGAATCAGTAGTTAGGGGTAAATTGTGTTTTTGTTTATTCGATGAGATTTCCGAACTGGGATTTTTACGTTCTCTACCAAATGTCTTGTTACACATTAATCATATTTACACTATTTTCTTATTTCTTGATTTCCGTCGCTCACTACTCATTTTTCGCTAAACATTACAAAAGTTTAACTACTGTTCACTTGTTTTTTCTCATAACTTAATGCTTACCTATTTTTCTAGATTCGCAGTGAAACTCTTTCACTGCTTATTTATTGATTCTTTTCGTTTCTCACTTTTTACTTCTATCTTTATTTTACATCACTCACTTTTCACTTGTCTCAACTCTAGAGAAAATTAAATTAGAGCCACATGTGAAAAGGGCATACAAGCTTTTTGTAAACAAACTTTTGTAGGCCTTTTTCTCACCAACCGAGGGTCGCCCACGCAAACCGACAATATCATCAGGAAGGGGAATGCTTCCCCTACCTGCTAATGTTGATGGTTTGCTTTGATGTCATATAGGTGGCGAGAGAAGGGCATAAGAAGGTTTGTTTACAAAAAGCTTGTATGCTCTTTTCACATGTTCTAATAGAAACTAAACGATCGATTCAACCTCTGGTGGTGAATAGGAGAACGTCAAAAAGAGTGTTGTGAGCATAAATGTTTGCCTTGAGACATAGGAAGCGGAACATTTTTTACTTTTCCTGATAAATTGATTCATCTGAGATGCTGCAAAACTTAATCTACAATTATAACATTTCATAGTTTCATAATTCCGAATAGGGGAAAGTTGGGTAAGATGGCCATAAGGGGAAGACGAGCATCGTCTCTAAACTAGTGCTGGGACTATCCGAATATCTGGGAACGGATATCCGGCTGGTATCCAAAATTTGGATCAACTGGATATCCTAATTTTCAATAGTATTGGATAGTGTAATGAAAATTGATAAGATACTTATAAAGGGTTTGGCATTAAGCGTTTCCTATCTTTAAAGTTGAATAAAACAAACTGTGTGAGATATTGGCGAGATTTATTTTTCGATTGAAAGGCCTATCAATACCATTATGTATGGAATATGACATCGTTCAAATGGCCGCCTCGGCTTCGCTTGGTGGCGTGCACCCGAGAGGTCCAATTTTCCATTACTCTGGCGCACAAATCGGGTTGAATCTCGTTGATGGCTTTCAGGTCATCGGTGGTTTGCGGCTTAGTGGCATAGACCTGCGACTGAACATAACCCCACAATAAAAAGTCTAGCGAGGTTAAATCACACGATCTCCGCGCGAAATAACCATGGGGCGTATTACGGATGTCACTTCACGGTGAAAACTTGTCACTTGTTGTCACGGTGAAGTGATTCCCATTTGATTTGTACGGCAATCACGGCTCTGTTCGCGTCCGGATCAAGCGGTGATTTTGACGTTGTTCTTACTACGATAGCTAAATTTATAGAATTTCATATGGTGTCATTGCTTGAATTCTTTTGCCACAGTTTGTCGAGTGAATGAAGGCAGAGCGAGACATATCCTGTTACGAAGCTCCTTCAAGATAGATAAGCAGATTCATGTCGTCTCAAACTCCTTGCAAACTCCGATCATGCTTAGCATGCAAATGTTCGACACCGGACATAGAGATAAATTAAACATTAATGTCTGCACTTTGTGCTAACCAGATACCAAGATTAGGACATCTTTGAATACCGAGGTTAGTCTGTAAAACATAAAGATCTGGATCCATACCTCTCACTCCAAAATCATGAGTTCAAATCTCAACCGGATAAAGCACGAATGATCCGAGAGTGTGAAAATTTCTATAAATAAAAAAACAATTTCCTTGAAATTTTGCTAAGCATTCTCAAATCTCTTGGAATCCTGTTAAGATTCTATTAAGATTATTTCAAAAATCATTGTTGCCACAGGGGCACTTGCTCAACCGCCCGGCGAACTGGCAACCGGTCCAATCAACTGTGCCTAGCAGACCGCCAGTCTATGTGCGACGGGATGATCGACAGCATAAACGTCACCTAAAAAAAGACGTCATCCTTTGAGTCAAGCAGACGAAGAATCACGCGGGTGAAAAGTATTTTTCTTAAACTAGTGCCTAAATACCTAAATTGCCTCTTTCGCAAACTGGACCATCTTGCGGTTGATAAAGTTGGTGCCAAATCTTCCAAAAGCTCGACCTCGAAGTAGTCGGAGTAGTGGTCGACCGAGACGAGAAACTTCTGCTTGCGACCTCGAAGCTCCGCGAGAAATACATCCATACTCACCAGCTGGAAAGGAAATACCGGAATGCTGTGGCTCATCATTGGAGGGTTTGGCTGAGAAGCAGCGTACTTTGCGCAAACCATACATTCCTTCACGACGTCTTTTATTTGGGTACTCATACCAGGCCAGAAGAGATTTGCCCTGGCCAACTTCAATGTTGCCTCCACACCGCCATGGTTAACATGACAGCATTTGATCAACTTACGTCGCAACGTGTATGGTACAACAATCCGGTCATTTCGCAGAATCAATCCATCAACCGTGCTCAATTCATTTCGCTAGTTGTAATAAAAAACACTGTCGGGAACTTTATCGAGCACCGTTGGCCAACCATGACGGATGTAGTCGACAATTTGTTGCATCGATGGATCCTTCATCGTTTCCTGTATTATATCACTCAGACGTTGATCAGAGATGCTCAGGTAGCTGGTCGGCTTCAAATCTTCAACTTCCTTGAGCACCTTAAAGATACTGAGTTTTCTGTATTCGTCCTCTGGTTCGCTGATGATCACCGGGGCTCGAGAGAGAGCATCGGCGGTTACGTAAACTATGGATAAAATGTAGCGCTGCAGGTTTAGTAGCATGTGTTGAAGCCTGCGCGGTGCCGAGAGAAGCGGCTTCTGGAAAATGTTTATCAAAGGTCTGTGGTAGGTCTTAACAACAGCCTTCGGATTTCCAACGATGAGTTGGTCGAACCGTACACACGCGAACAATATCGCCAGCAGCTCTTTTTCGATCTGCGCGTAATTTTTTTCTGCTGCCGTCAGAGTCCTTGATGCGAAACCAATTACTCCGTCCTGCTGAAAAACCGCAGCCCCCAAACCATAGCAACTGGCATCGCACTCAATTGTCAGCGGGAGATTAGGATCGTAGTAACGCAGCGTCCCGATATCTGCAAACAATGATTTCACCTTGTTGAATTCGTCTTCTTCAGTTTTCGTCCACTGCCATGAAACTTCTTCGGAGATCAGTCTTCGTAGATTGGTAAGGTTGACACTGAGGTTTCTGATAAAACGGCTCAAATAGTTTACCATTCCAATGAAACGGTGCACTTCCTTCCTGTTAGTTGGCGTGGGGAACTCTCGAATAGCAGTAATTTTGCTTCCGTCTGGCTTCAATCCGTGATCCGTTAGCACATGACCGTAAAACTTCACGGATGTTTGGCAAAGCTTGAGTTTTGATAGATTCAGCTTTACATTCTTCCGCTCCAATCTGATAAGGAGAGCTTCCAGGCACTTATTGTGGTTCATCAATGCTTCTTCAAATGTTTCGCCGATTCCATATACCAACACGTCGTCTGCAATGCATTCCACGCCTTTAAGACCTTCGATGGCTTCCTGCAGCTTCAACTGAAAAATTTCCGGTGCCGATGCGATCCCAAATGGCAACCGTGTCCAACGAAAGCGTCCAAAGGGTGTCCAGAATGTGGTCAGCTTGCTACTGGCTTCATCCAACACCACGTGCCAGAAGCCCTTCTTAGCGTCGACGGTTGAAAATACCTTAGCCTTCCCGAGCTCCGGCAGGATTTCGTCAAGTGTGACGAACTGCAGGTTTGGTCTTTTGAGCGCCTTGTTTAGTGGGACCGGATCCAAGCATACTCGAATTCCATCCGATCCGGGACGCTGCACAATGACCAAATTGCTTACCCATTCCGTGTGTGTTGCTTCCTTGATGATCAGTCCATCTTTTTCCAACTGCTCGAGTTCTTTCTTCAACCTTTCTCTCATCGCGATTGGAATTCGCCTGGGAGGCTGGATGGATGGAGCAAAACTTTCGTCGATCTCCAAAGAAACAGTATCGGCGAACTGCCCGTACCCGATGAACAGATCCTGATGATTATCAACAATCTCCTGTGCTTTGATACGGTAAATGTTGAGTAGCTTCTCCGGTGTATCCGTTGAATTCGACTTGCTGAACACAACTGCCTTGCAAAACTTTACAAAACCAAGCACTCGAGAAGCTTTTGCAGAAAGCAGCGGACGGTGATCGACATCCACTACCTGCAGGACCAATCGATATCTCCTACCTTTGCGTCGACATGGAATCTTGATCTGACCCAACACTTTGATTGGACTACCCCCGAAACTTTGAAGACGTAGCTTGGAAGGTAGCAGTGGAGGATTGTCTTTTCCGCAGAGCTTTACCAGGGTTGAGAATCCAATCAGACTCGTATTAGCACCTGTGTCGACTTCGCAAGTGATGGACTTCCAAACGTAGGTCTAATTCAGCCAGGACACTTCCGCCTTGATCAGAATTGTCAAAAATCTTCCCGATCTCATACTCCTCTTCCGATGAAACGTCGCTCTCAGATGAAGTTTCGCCGTTGGAGTCGCTGGATCCGTCCTTCACCTCCTTTACTCGTCGAGATCTTCGATGCTTCGGTTTGCTGTTAGCCTTGCACACTTTTCCAAAGTGGTTCTTGCCGTTGCACTTGTGACAGCGTTTCCCTAAGGCGGGACAGCTACCTTTGGAAAATTCATGGCGATCTCCGCAGAATTTGCCCCGAAGGACAGCCTTGCCTCTACTAACCTTATTGACATCTGCTGGTTTCGATGTTAGGTTCAAGAAATCCAGCGATCGCTTGACCGCGATCTCTTCGGCTCGACACATATCTACGGCCTTCGCAAGAGTGATATCTGCCATCGATAACATTTTCGTCCTTAATTGTGGCCATCGGTTAGCGGTTACGACCTTGAAGGAAACTAACTCGTTTTCAAGCGCACCAAGCTTTGCCATTTATGCGATTGCCTTGAGACGC